CTCAAGTCTTAGCGGATTATGGAAACATCGGTGGCCTTCCGAAAGTTGGCATGAGAATCGGGATAGGTTCTCTCAACAAAGACTTGAAGAACGCAATGCTGATGGAACCAGCAGAGCCATACTTATTAACAGCACAAGGGTTTTCCAACATCAACAGCCATTTGATGCCAATTACAATGATACCGACCAAAGAGGAGCCAATTCTAGACAGTTTCTTGGGCCACAATCAACCTAGCAGCCAACCCCCAGACCTTCTCACACAGCTGCAGGCCATAAAATTGGTGACAGAAGCCTCAAAATCCACAGAATTCCAATCTTCTGCGCCAAATTTTTACAGTCACGAAGGCATATTGTCATCACCATCTTCTACTTCTTCATCTGCCGCTCAAGAGCAGGCAACCCTGCAGACGTTTAGCTGGAGCGATTTTCTCCTTGAAGACGCGTTTATGCCAATTGGTGACGCCCAAGAACACAAAAACAAGGGTGAGTATTCATCGAAGAACATAGCACAAGTAGCAGTACAACAAAGCCAAATCGACATGGATTATGCAATCTCAAGCAATGAAGTAGAGGCTACGTCTCCAGCGTGCGACAGTTCGTTTGTGGAAGCCATGGTATCTCTAGAGAATGAGATGTTCTTGGAGTTTCCTGAACTAATGGAAGAACCATTCTACTACTGAGTTTATATATTTCCTCCAAAGCTATGGTACTAACGTTGCAAACAATAAGATTTTCTTTATAAGCTGAAAATAATAAGAACTAGCTGATAGGGCGTTTTGTTGGAACTTTATGCCTTGCATGATGCAACTAATTGTTTTTTTAAGGTGAAAGAGGATTTTATTTTTTTATTTTTTTATTTTATAAATTTGGCCGCAAAGTTCATCCCACTATAGCATTGCTATCATGAGAAGAGACTTTGAGGAGGATTTCATTCAAAGCATCAACCCAAAACATAACATAAGCATACATGTGGACATAAAGACTGCTTCTGAAAAAACCTTAGTCGAGTAAAATTCTGTGATGAAAAGCTCGATAAGAAAAAGAGACCACACATGCAAGTCAAATTTAATTCCCGTTTGCAGACTTGATATGGATGTAATGCATGAGCCATGACATAAAAAACCTTATTTGGTTAACAGTGACTTGGACATTAAGGTATTTGTCTTAAGTTAACAGTTGTAGTAATAGTGGATCAAATCAGACGTCAGAAATTTTATCTAACAACTAACTTTCTAACCAACTAACGCTATTGCTCTACTAAAAATAAACATGTACTCCAAGGATTTATACTCGAATAAAAAGAGAGGAAAAAGGCCATGTCCATACTTGATTATTTTAAAGATTTTTCAGTGTGCCCATAATATGGACAGTGCTATACAAGTAGAGGACATTTTTTTTAGAGTAAATTGTAGCTATGGTCCCTTAACTTTAACTCAATTGGAGCAATGGTCCCTCAACTAAAAATCCATTACCTTTGGTCCCTCAACTTATCAAAACGTGCAACTATGGTCCCTCAACTAAAAATTCATTACCATTGGTCCCTGAACTTTAATTCAAGTGGAGAAATGGTCCTTTAACTTTAATCCAATTGTAGCAATGGTCCTTACAATATAACTCGTTTTGACAAATTTTTTGACATAGTTGACGAAAAGAACCATAATTATACACTTTGATGAGTTGAGGGACCCTAATTATATAAATGGTCATTCCAACATAGCTTATTTTGACAAAATTTTGACAAAATTTATGAAAATGACTATAGCTACACATTTTGATAAGTTGAGGGACCAATGGTAATGGATTTTTAGTTGAGGGACCATTGCTCCAATTTGATTAAAGTTGAGGGACCATTTGTACAATTTACTCTTTTTTTAAGTATCTCGCCGGATTCTTTTCCTAGGGATTCTGCGATCGTGATCGTTCATCGTATATCATGCGATCATAAATTATTTCAAAATTTAAAATTTAAAAGTAAATATGAATAGTACCTAATAAAACTGATCGTACGATATACGATGAACGATCACGACCGTGGAATCCCTAAGATCCTATTATGGACGGTCGACCATGAAGCATCAAGTAACAGCGGCAAAGAGTCTTTTACCCGCGCTACCTAATTAACTTCACCTCTCGATTACTGAGTGGTCCTTATTTACTTTTCACTACAATTCGTTTATTTATTTACTTTTTATTAATTCTTATAAACTCATCAAAAATTCAAAAAACAAGGAACAGAGAAATTGCAGAAGAACAAAAATATCGACAGAGAAATTCGTTCACAAATGGTGGCGATTTCGTTGTACAGAGGAAATCTCCACAGAGTTCCCGACGTACCACGTCGGTGGCTTATGCCAACCCCTAAAATCTCCCTGAAGGACTTCAAATCCCTTTTAACCCGCCGCTCTGTAGCTCTCTCCCGCCTCCGCTCCGGCCTCCCCGCCGCCGTCTCTTCTAACCCTAAGCCTGATTTTGTCCCGGGCCAGCTCAGCGAAGCTCCAAAGGCGGGAAATTTGTCTAACCCAACGATTAAATTCGAAGCGCCGGAGAATGTTGCTACTGATTGTGAAGCTGGGCCGTCCGGGGAGAAGAAGGATGGGAAGCAATCGGACGGTGCTGGTTTTGCGGTGAAATCCGGTGGTGGGTCCGATTCGCCGCCTGCTCTTAAGTCCGATTTGATCGAGAAAGGGTTGGATGTTGCAGATGTTGGTGCTAGTTCACTGCCTGTGAAGGTTGAGAAATTGGATGAAGTGGAAAACCCTAAATCTGAGGTATATCTATATCTATATGTGTATTTATATCTGGTTTTCAATTGGATTCTGAATTGCTTTGGAAAGTTTTGTTTTTTATTTGGGCATTTGTATGGGTTTGTGTTCTTAAATTGAAGTGTGAAAATTGGATTTAAACTGTAATGTGTGGAGAAAGAAAAACTTAAATCTATACATCACAAGCATGCATTTTTATTTGCTGAACTGTTTAGCGTAGTTTCGATTCGTGTTTAGTAACTGCAATTGTTTGTTTATATGATAGAGATGCAACAAAGAGGAGGAGTTAAGTGATAAGCAAAAAAGGAAGAGAGAAGTTGAGGAGAAGCTGCAGGTTTTGAATCAGAAGAAACATAATCTTGTTCAAGTGTTGAAGCAGGTAAGTTTTGGCTCCGTAGTCGATTTGTGTGTTTCTTTGTGTTACATTTGGGCAAGTATCGATACTAGAGAGCTTGTTCGTGTTGGTTTACAGATCTTAAATGCAGAGGAAGAATTAAAGAGACGAAATTGTATGCAAGGAGTGGTGGTTCGCCCGTCTGTATCACCTCAAGTTGATGTAACAAATGACTCCGGTTCAATGACTAGGCATGCTGCTGCTAGGTTGGGCTCAGAGGCGAATCTTGAGATGGAAGGGGTTGAGGGCGATGAGCTTTCAAATCATAACTTTCATTCTCGCCATGTATTCCGGATGAACAGCACATCCCCATCTTCAGAGTCTCCTCTCAGAAGGCCGGCTCATATTCAGCACAACGTGGTAATGCATTTCGGTTACTACTTCTAGCACTACTTTTACAGTACCAATCAAGTGTCTATGCACGTCTCGTTTATGTTTTCATTACTTTTACAGTACCAATCAAGTGTCTATGCATGTTTCGTTTATGTTTTCATTTGTGTCGACCACCGTATTGCTGGTTTTATCATTGTCTTGTGAGAGCTTATAAATTAAGAATCTTTTGAATTACAAGTTAAAGTAGTTTTCCGCAAGAGAAAATATTAGAAATTTGAGGAAGTAGTTAACAATTGATGTCTCTTTGCTTTGCTACATTTTCATGAACTCATATTCAGTTATCGAATTTTGTGTGCAGGTTCCACACCCCTCTCGAGCAAGTTTAGGACCAACCGGCACTAGTCCATCACGCTTTGCTCCCATAGGGCAACAGGGGCATCCTGCAAATCTACCCACAGTATCTGTATCAGGAACCAATTACATGGCATCCTCTCCATCCCCTGCAGCTTCCGGCGGCACTTCTGCTTTCAAAGACGCTCGATTGCCAAGTCCATGGAATTAGATTCGGGCTATGTAGTCCCTTGTCACATGGGGCTCTTCTTTGAACACCAGTTTCTTGTAGATCATGGCGACGTAATGAACATTTCGGCTTCCCTTTTCGTTTTTCCTCCCCACTCCTCTTCCATTTGAGACTGGTAAAGGTCGGACCGTCAGCCGGCCAAAATTTCACGTCTCCTTGTATCTCTGTAAATTAGTGAGGCTTGTCAACTTAAGCTGTATTGAATTTCTTTAAAGAACATGCAAATCGATGATTTTGATGAATTTTTGTTACACTGATCTCCAAGGACTAGTGTTTTTTTGCAACAAAGTTACGCTATCACAACGATGGACTAGCCACGTCTCGGCCACAACAAAGTATCGAATTTGAATTCATCACACAACACACAAGTATATATTGTCTTTGCATTCATGTAAGTCAAACTTAAGATCGCTACTTACTAGGTGGAGAACGTTATAACTGGACTAAAGCTTGTTAATGTTGATTATTGTTTGTTTAGTATTATTTTTCAATTTTAAAGTAATAATTTATCTTGTTTGTTAAAATTATATCCTACTTTTTCAAATTTTTGTTTTCCGACAAATGTAAGATGTTTACAAAGTTACTTTTTAAGATGTCGTTTACTCGCTCATAACTTAGTATCAAGCTCACTGTAAATATAAATCGTTCTTAATTCTTATGAGTCAAATCTAAAACCTTCAACTAAACGAATACTAAAGGCCGCTAAGCGAACAAATAGGATTTGTAGGGTAGCAACCCAAATTCCTTCCCCTATGCTAAAATTACAAGACAAGATCCAAAAAATGTTGCCCTAGCTAGCCAACTCTAAATTCCCATGGGTTTTTAGATAGTTGGGTGAGTCAACGGTCAAAACTTCACAAGGGCCCCTCCCGTTCTTTTCCTTTTCCTCCGCCCCCGGCGCATGTTAGAACTCAAAAGTGCCTAGATCTCACCACACAAGTCCCAATCCACCCAACCCCACAACTGACCCAAAAACATATCAACGCAAAAACGAAAACTTCCCCTTTCATTTCGTCCCCATTCATCCACGCACCACCGCCCAAAAAAAAAACCACCATGTCTAACCGCACCACCCACCGGCGCATGTTAGCACCGACAGAGCCAAGGCCCTCCAAGCACTCCACTTCCCTAGATCCTCCTTCCCTGCCTTCTAAACCATCTTCCACCTCCAACCCCACCTCCAGAGTCAACGCAAGTCAACGAATCCGCAGTTCACAGAGCCTCACAGACACTCGCTTGCAGGCCAAATCGATGTCGGCGTCAATGGATTCCTCCAAGTCTTTCCTCAAATCGAACCCTCACCCTAAATCATTCGACCCCAGAAGCGAAAAACAGAGCAAGAAAACAGAGGAATCAGAAAAACCCCAAAAACCCAGTAAAGATGTGGTGGCGGTGGTGAATAAGAAGAAGGGAGCTCAAAATGGGTTGGTTGGTTTTGAGGAAAAGAAGAAGTTTGATAGCGGGAGGAGGCCGTCGGTTTCGTCCGCCGCAAGCGGCGGCGGCGGCGGCGGCGGAAGGAGGAGATCCCTGTCTGGGCCGCAGGTGCAGTTGGCGGATGTGTTAGCAAGTAATGGGGTGAGAATTGTTTCAGCTGATATGCCACCGTTTATGCAGATCCATGCTGTGGAGTGTGCAAGAAAGACGCATGATAGCCTGGAAAAATTCACCTCCAAGACTCTTGCTTTGACTCTCAAAAAGGTAATTATAAGCTTAATTATCATGATTAGGATGTTAAATTTTGATTTTTCTGAGGTTTTTGGTGATTATCTAATGTGGGTTTTATTTTATGATTAGTTGGTAATTGTTTGGTGGGGTTTGTGTTAACTCAAAAAGTCCCACTTCAAAACTCCAATATATAATGAATGATTCTGCCACTAATTGCACCGAGTTCTTTTGTGATAAAACCCCACGTTTGCCGTGCGTGTGTGATTAGTAGTGAGTCGTTGGTTCATCTATGTGCAAATATTGACAGGGTTGGGTAATTGTTTTGCAGGAATTTGATGGGGTATATGGGCCAGCATGGCACTGCATTGTAGGAACAAGTTTTGGGTCTTTTGTGACGCACTCTGTAAGTGGGTTTCTGTATTTCTCAATGGATCAAAAGTTGTACATCCTCTTGTTTAAGACCACTGTACAAAGAGCAGACTGAAAATTTGATAAGTTTTAAGACTTTTTTTTAGGGTAGGAAGAAAGTTCTGTGCATTCTTCTTCTTTCCAGACTGTACATTTGGTTATGCAGGGAAAATCATGAGAGAGAGAGAAATGGAAATTTCTCCCCATCTTTTTTTTCATTGAGAGACCTTTCTTCTCCCCTCCTCTCGTACTTTCTTCTGTCGCTTCTCATTCTGTAAAGAAGTCAACATAAGATGTTGATGTGACTTAATCGTGAGTATTCAAATAGGATGGGACTGAAGGAGAAGGAAAATGGGAGAGGAGAGAATCCAGATCCCTCTAAGCCTTAGCCATGTGTGATCATCAGTGTTATAAAATCATACTATGTGTTACTTTTTTCTTTTTCTATTCTTCTTATGTGTCCGTTTTGTTCTTGGGTGTTATCGGTTTAAACACTTACAAATTTATCTCTCGTTACATGAGATACAAATACATAATTGTACAACCGATGACATAGCAAATTTCTCCCATCCCATCTTTAAATACATTATTATTACATATGGAAAGTAGTATTCAATCCATCAAGGATGGCATACAAAAAGTTCATAGGATGTGTGTCCTGTTTTCCAAACTTACATTGTATTTTGTATCTCCTCTTTATATTATTGGTGGTTCGGTCAGAGACTCAGAGGACACCCCTTACCCTCCAAATCATTTATCTTGCTTGTAAATTGGGGCCTCTTGTTCCAAAAAACACTAGGACATGGGACCATATTGAAAGAGGGTCCTAAATAATGTGGCTTTGACCAAAATTGTCTTTTCACCTCTATCAATTTGGACTTAAAATTTGAGCATTACCATCCCAGCCCAGCCCAAAATCTATTTCTCATACCACTGATTAACTGGCCCATTCTCCATCCAAGCAAAGCCAAGTGTTTGATTTCCTATCAACAGACTTTTTTATTTACCCATCAAAATTATAAAAAAGTTGCCATCAAGACCATACCGCAAACTTGTACTACTTTTGTATTGGGATGTAATTCCCAATTTTCTGTACATGAGTTAGGTCAATTGATTAAGGCAGGCTTCCCGGCCATTTGCTTCCAAGTCGAATTTCCCTCTTTATGGATTATCGTAGTTAAGGTTATCAATGATTACGGCTGGGTTTCGGGCTACTTGCTCTCAAGTTCAAATTTCCCAATCTAAAGATCATAGGAGTTAAAGATATCGCCTTGGCAGAAGTAAAATCGCATACCTACCTATCCTCCACTGATTAAGAGCTGGTTTGGTATTGTTGTGTTTTGAAAAAAAACTGCTGTAAGAATAATAGTTGTGCTGTGAGAATAAGTGACTGTGAAATAAATCAGCAGAGTGTTTGGTAAACTTTTTTGTAAAAGTGCTTTTGGAAAAAAAAAAAGCAGTCTGATAGTGGGTCTTTTCATTAAAGAAGCACTGTAGCTCCGTGTGCTTTGAAAAAAAAAACCAGTTTTCCAAAGCTACAAATAGCAGCTTCAGCTTTTTCCTTTGATTTCAGCTTATTCTCACAGCAGCTTCCAAAATAAGCCATTTTTTTTTCAGTTTACCAAACACCTAAAACCCTCACAGCTTTTTTTCATGGGTGCTTTTTTTTTAAGCACCTCACTCCCAAACCACCCTTAATATTGGTGGACATAAATGGCAGTTTGGAAATTGATAATTTTACAAACAAACCCTTCTATGTTTGGTATGGAGCCGATGAATAGACGGTTGGATGTGCGGTTAAAGATTCCGTTGCATGCTATGTTTCGGTTCATACAAAAAAAATCCAAAATGAAGAAGGAACAATGATTGAGAGGAAGAAATTGAGTGTGGTAGATTTTACGGCTATCACATGCAGAATGCAGGGGCTTTGTTTGAGAGCATTGAAAAAGTAGCCACAAAGAGCAAAAGGTACCGGACCATCTTTTTGTAACAGTTCCACGTACTAGTCACTGCAGAAAAAAGGCGACCTAGTTCTTTCCCAACTGAACACGAAGTTGAACTTCTTACAACAAAATAGTTGTCATGGTACAGTTTGTACTATTTTCTTCTTTGTTTACTTTTGTCTTTTCTGTTCAAAACTGTGAAGGCACTTCAAATGCGAATTGAGATTCCCTAAATATCTCTGTGCTCGAAGCCTGCAAACCGAGAGATTCAGACAACTCAATTTGAATCATACGGCCCCTCTTAGTCTATCTACCTATCCCACTTCATAAAAATCCAAAAACTTGAACAGCCTAGATCTTGAATAGTTCGAATCTTTGGATCGATAGATTCTAGACATAGGGTTTCAAAGTGAATCATATTCTCACTCAACGCCAAATATTATCTTATAACAACTTCAATAGAGCCAAGTTTGTTGCTTCATGAAAATTTGGAGGGGTAGAGTCCTACTCCAGCTTGTTAGATGAGCTTCACTCAATAATAACCATAAAACGAACATTCTTCAATTCCTTGCTGATAAGGAATCATAATCTTTCACTGCTTACAATCACATACTGTAATGAGTTATAAAAAGACAAAAATAAAAGTTTAACAACTTTCTTCAACATTTATTTCAATATTTAGTTTCAGCTGACACATACTGATGCCTTAATGCAAACAGTAAAATTGACACGAGGAATAGGAGGGAGACTTCCCTGCACCTTTGGGTACGCCACCATAGCATCCCAGACCAATAGAGCGATTTGTGTGAGAAATTTAAAACACACAACATTGTACTATTAGTTTGAAACGCTACAACATCAAATAGCGTGTATGTAAGTCTCTCTTGAGTGGTACACATCACTTTTGATGAAGGACTTGGCTTCTTTGCACTCCCAGTTCCCATACACTCATATCCTCTCCTATTTGTGCGGTCACGATTAAGCCACGTCAACATTTTATATCACTATTGTTTTTTGTCTTTTTATCCCTATAAAAAAAATCAATATAAAATGTTGACGTGGTTTAACCGTGACCGCACAAAATAGGAGGGGATGAGAGTATATGGGAACTGGAAGGGCAGAGAAGCTGGGTCCTTTGATGAAAGGCTGGTGCAACATATATGAGGTGGACATGAAAATGAATTGGGCAGATGGCCATTTAACCCTATTTCCAAATAGACAATGCATCAAGTTTTGATAACCAAATTAGGAGTACGAGGCTTTAAGAGGGAAATTAAGCCACTCAAGTTAACTTTGGCAAATGCCCAAGATCCCACAAAGGCACATGAGTTTGGCCAAATGCAAAACTATATTGGGCATAATCTCAAACACACTTTCTCAAGTGTAACCAATCTTGCTTGGATGTGTACCATTTTTTTGCTAAGCAAGTTAGGCACCACCAATAATAATTGTGACAAATGAGAAAAAGAAGGGTTAGGTCTTGATGGTGCTATAATCCAATTTATCAAAGCTATTTAGCTCTTAAGAAAAAGGGAGTTAGAAAGAGAAAAGCATTTTTCCCCAACATAAATTTATTTGAGAATTTAATTTGGAGGGTTTGTGTTGTTCACTAGTGCAAGCACCCACCAACCATTGTTTCCACCCAATCTCTCTTTTGAAAGAGAATAAGATGCTCCAATTTGAAAATCTTCCTCACATGAACTGTTACTTTCACTTTCTAGGCACTATTTTAAATTGGGTATTTCTCATTTACTATGTGAATTTGACATATTATTTCTTCAGAGTAAATTGCAACAACAACAAAGCTTTATACTACTAAGTGGGGTCGGCTATATGTATCTTAAAACACTACTGGTCTCGGTTTTGCGCCAACTCTTTCGTTAGCTCCAATTACTCCATGTCTTTTCTTAATGTCTATTTTCAAGTCTTCCTACGTTTTTCTCTACCTCTTTTGTCTCATAATTGCATATGCTCACCAAAGCATGTGTAGTTCTTCAGTTCACATGTCCAAACCACATTAACAGAGTTGTGAATTGCACATATGTAAATTTAGGCTAATTGGTCAAAGCAATGCGTCTATCTCATTGCATCGAAATATGATTCCTCTTCATCGTCTATTAGAACAGATTAAAATATCACTTTCTTGGAGAATAAAAAATTCTAGCAAATGACATCATCAAGTATGCAGATGTGAATTAAATTTGTTGGTCAGAATAGCATGTGCGTCCCTTTGTACCAAAATCTCATTTCTTTTCATTCTAAATCAGAATATATTAATATATCGCTTTGTGAAAAAAAAGAAAAAAAGAAGGGAGATATAGCCAATGGAATCTTCAAGTAATTTGAAATACAGAAGTGGGTTTGGATCCTTTTGATCCCCACTTTCCTTCTAATAATGTATTTGTTAGGCACTTGATCCCATATCTGGTTTAGATCAACCAATCAAGCAACTCACACAGAAAATTAAATAATAAATTAATAAAACCCAGACTGAGTGCCACGTGGCTATGGCAGAAGAGCGAGTGCCTTAACGCGCCGATGGTAGCATTTCTGGATAAGAGGTGGATTGTCTGCCCTCCTACTTCCATACTATTCCCATCCCCTTGTATTTGTGTGATTACTGTTAAGTTACGTCAATATTTTATATTTCTATTACTATAAAATATTGACGTGACTTAACAGTGACTATACAAACATGAGGGATGAGAAGAGTATGGAAATGGAGCGCACACAATCCACCTCCGGATGGATGTTCACTTGCTAAACGGAGCCGCTTCTCTCTGTCCGTCTCTGTCTAACTTTCATCATCATCCATTAATGCCTCTCTCTCTCTCTCTCTCTCTAAAAACCAAATCCTTCTCTCTCTAAATCACTTGTTAAATAACCCATCAGCTCACTAAACCCCGCATTCACTCCCCCCACAAGCTTACTCTCTCTGTGGGAACCTCAAGTTTTGGTTTTGGATTCGGATACCGGGCCGGGTCGGGTCGGTTCGAATGAATTCGGTTGTTGACAAAATGGATCCTCCACTGATCAACGAGTCTTCCTTCTCAGCAGCTAACCCAGCATCCTACAGCCTGGCGGAGATTTGGCCCATCAGCGGCGAACCCGGTGGCAGCGGTGGCGGGTTGGGGCTCCGAATGGGTAACTTGGGTCAGAGTTTCGGTGGGCTTGGAGATAGCTCTGTGAACAGAGATGGGTCGTTGGAGGAATCGACTGTGACTGAGCAAAGTGGCGGCGGCTGTGGCGGAAGAAAGAGAAGGGATGTGAGCTCTGAGGACGAGTCTTCGAAGCAGGTTTCCACCAGTAGTGGCAATGGCTTGGTTCGTAATTTTTCACTCCTTCAAGTGAAATTTGATTGCTTGGCTCGATTTTATGTTTGGTTTTCTGAGAAAATGTTGCAAATTAATGCTAAAGCAATGAACTTTGTATGTGTTTTTGTTATAATTTAGCTGAATTATGGCTAATGGAGGGAAATAATTGGAAAAAAGGAACGAATTTTAGTCGGGGGCCTTTATATTTGAACTTAATTTAGTGAACTATTTGTTGGGAAATAATTGAGTGAAGTAGTAAAGTTTGTGAAATTGTGATTATGCTATCTCAGCTATGTGTAGAGACTTGATTTGAATGTTAATGCATCCGAAATTGGCGTGATGTGTGTCGTTAAGAAAGTTAAGCTGCATGATTTTCAGTTATTGATGTATGTTTGTATTTTGTTGCTTGTTCTTGAATTTTTTTTATTGTTTTCTTTGCCCTGTTTGTTCTCGAACAGAAATATTCGGGTGGAAAACGGATGAAATTAGCGGGATCCAGTAACGAAAATGGCAGTTTGAAGGCTGAAGTTGAAGAAAGTTCAGCTGCTGGTGACAAGAAGCCAGCTGAAGAAAGCACTAAACCTTCCGAGCCACCCAAGCAAGACTTTATCCATGTGAGGGCAAGAAGGGGACAAGCTACAGATAGCCACAGTCTAGCCGAGAGAGTAATGCACTTTTCGTCCTTTTAAAATTTCAATATAAGAATCTAGAACATCTATTACGGTTTGCCTGTTCTTAATCAAGCTCTGTAGTTATCGATAGGGAATCGGTTTCTGGTTTATTGACATGTTTGGTAAATCAGTGTGATTCATTCACTCTTTGAACATGTTGCGTACCATGCTCGTTTTGGCAGGCTAGGAGAGAGAAGATCAGCGAGAGGATGAAAATTCTCCAAGATTTGGTTCCTGGATGCAACAAGGTATTCAATGTTGTCTCGTTGGTTTTATGTTTGTCATAATATTTACTTAGCATATGATCAACGTAGTTCGTAAAGGAAATCTTTGTTATGTACTATGTTGTTTCCAATTTCATTGCTAGATTTATTCTAAACATCTTGGTAATTATCTAGTGATCCGAATTCTGAAATCAATTTTGTTTCACCAAGTATGTTTCCCTTACATTTGTTAACTTTCTTTTTTTTTTTCTTTTTTTTTTCTGAAAAAGGTTATTGGGAAAGCACTTGTCCTTGACGAGATTATTAATTACATCCAATCACTGCAGCACCAGGTCGAGGTATCTATTCCATTTGACTCTATCTAGTGGTACTTGGTTACACGATTTTGCTTTAAACTGTTTAACCCAAGTCTGTAATCTGTTTATTCGATTCTGTAGTTCCTTTCAATGAAGCTTGAAGCAGTCAATTCAAGGATGAACATGAATCCCGCTATTGAAGCGTTTCCTCCAAAAGATGTAAGTAAGCTGCACTTCTATAACCTACATAAAATCCACTGAACTACTCTTTCTGGATCTATTTCCAATATATAATCCTTGAAATGCATTTTTATTTCCGGTTAAATAAATTTCTGAAGATCCTACTGCTTTTTTAGAATGTAAACCTTCGTCTAGGGATTTTTTGGGTACAACTTTTCAATCTTGGAGATGCATCAAGGAATGTAAATGTCTGCCAACAGAGGAGTGTGCTTGTTGTAAGCTTGGCCGCTGGACACCACAGTGTTGCTCTTGATTTCCCAAGATTTGCAGTTGTGCATTTCTTGTGGCATTGTTAAGGGAAAGAACAGCAAGGCACTTCCTTCTGTGCTCATCTTTTTCTATAACCTAACCCTTGCTATACGCATAAAGATTCCGGAAAATCTCTTGTATTATTTGCGATGACATTAATGCATCATGTCATCTATTTGAGCATAACAATACGATAGTAATGATATTTTCTTAGTCCTTGATTTCCCAGGAAGGGTGAAGTCCTCTTCCGTTTTCCATCTCGAATTTAAATGCTATCACCATTCTGCTGCCTCCTAATTCTCAGGATCACAGTTCTTTTCTATCATCATGATGACATTATCCTTGTTTAGATTCTCTTCCCGTTAACTCATATTGCAATTAGCTACTATCTCCCCGGTTGAACAAGTAAAGTTTCTTTCAAAACACGGAAAGCCAAGGTATGTGCTGTATGAGTTTCTTACGTGTTGACCTGGTGTTTCAGCTCGGTGCACAGCCATTTGACGCTGCAGGGTTGTTATTTGGCTCCCACACACCTAGAGAGTACGCCCAAAGCTCACAGCCCGAATGGCTACATATGCAGGTTGGTGGTAGTTTCGAAAGAGCAACGTAAATTCAGGGGATTATTGTTCAAGTCGTAATTGGTGGCAGATGTGATATTAGGGTTCTACATCTGGAATGTGTTTGCTAAATGTATGATCATTCTAATCAGGGGTATTAACCGTAGGAACATCTAATCTTCGTATGTATCGTCTGACTAGATTATTAGACTCTACTCTGTTGTATAAGTCCCTAAGAAATTACGTTATAACGGCGTAGTTGATATGTGTAACAGAAGGATTGTGATTTCTGGGTTTTATTTGTAAAATATCTGATCATTTTTACATGGTATTACTTCATGCCACGAACTTTTGTTTCAGAATCAGCGGAAAAATTCAGGTATAATTTTGCATCTCAAACAACTCAAAAGAAAGAAGAAAAAAAAACTCCGGAGCCAACATAAAGAGTTATGTCAAACTTAGGGATCATTTGAAACATTATTTATAGTTTTATTGATACATATAATACAACAATAAGAGTAACATCGTAAAGTCCTTGGAATAATTCCATACGTGGTAAATGTAACACTATTTAGACATACAAAACTAACACACTTGCCGACACACTTGGCAATACGAAACTTGCATACAACTATGAAATCTACTTGTATTAGAGAACGTGTCAACAAGTATATTAGTCTTGTGTGTCGAAATCATTTATTGACAAGGTGAAGGTATTAATCACATGATCACTAGATCTCTTTTATTCCTTCAACCTTTCCTTCTAAGCTTGGAGATCAACATGACCATTCATTTTAACCACAACTATTCCTTTGTCAAATCCAAATGCAACTCTGCAGAGCAATGAAGTACGAAGTCAATTTATATCGTCACTGGTAATCAATCAAATGCCACAACAAAACGAATCCTAACAACAAGAAAAAGATGGAAAAAAACTCACTTGTCTGATCCTTTCGAGTGTGCGATGGCCCAAACTCTTTCGAGATCGTAGCTCAGTCTCTTTTCTAGCCTGCAAGACCATAAGAATGGGTTACAAAAAGAAGACGTAAACAGAAATCGAGTTAACTGCGTTTCTGGTGTAAATATTTTGAATCGTAAAAGACGGTTACCTAAAAGTGGCTGCATGCCAAATGTGAACATTCCCATCCTCAGAAGCTGTGATTATTATGGGAAGCTCAGGATGAACACATAGAGCAGTTACATTGTGCTCATGGCCTTCTAAAGTTTGGACACAGCTTTTGATTTCGTAGTCCCATACCTGCATTGACATAATACATTCAAATTCATATGCACGCAAAGACGAACACATATCATCATATTCAGTACATATATATAACCAACATTTCATCACAAACCTTAACAGTAAAATCGTCGGAACCACTCAATAGATATGTTTTATTGTCGCGAATGAAGTAATGAACGCAATTTACTCCTTTTAAGTGGTCCTCTAATGTAAACTCTGGGCCAGCGGAGCCAATCCTCCATACCTGCAAAAGTATATGAGTGTCACAGAAGTCATGACGCTGAAAATTTTACGGTTAAGTTTGCACAAATAACAATCCTTGCAATACCTTGACAGTGCCATCAAGAGACGCACTAGAGAAAGTATTGGTGTCGTTTGGATTGAACGCCACTTGCATTACATAGTGAGAATGTCCCTCAAAGATCTGAGTGCATGACCAATCCTTCTCCCAATCCCAAAGCTTTATAACGTTGTCGTCCGAGCATGACAAGAGATAAGGTAGAGTAGGATGGACAGTCACACTCCTGATATAATCTGTATGTGCTTCAAACTCTTTGATCTTTTCCGTCGTGTCATAGTTGTAGACGCGAATAAATGTGTCATCAGCTGCGGTTACTATCCAGTGTTCGCGTGCTACAAACTTTGCTGACCTGACTGCAAGCACATGTAAACAAAATTTAGACGCAAAGTCATATCTGTCAATGAGAGAAACTTCGGTAGGCACGCAACAAGAACATATGAAAGAAAATAATGTACCTGGTGATTCAGTGACCTTGAAGGACTTCTCCATGGTCTGTGATTGGTAATTCCAGATACAAACAGCACCTGAATACAAACTGACCAGAACCCTACATGCAAAACATTACCAACAAGCTTTGATTATCTTGCATTTTTAGAATTCAATCAATTAACGTACACGAAATCGAAAGTGGATAGCAGAAGGTTGCACTTGCATCAATTAGGGTTTAGGGTTTAGGGTAAGAATATGAAAAAAAATCAAAACGAGGAGATGCAGAAAACATAAACAGAATTGCCAAGACAAGCAATTACCATGGCTCAGTTGGATGTAGATCCACAGACTTAATTCTTTCTGAGTTTTGAGCAAATTCTTTCTGGTAAAAAATATATTGAAGTTAATGTTGAAACATAGAGAAAATTTTAGTTCCAAAAAATAAATAAGATAGAAAAGGAAAAGAAAAAAAAAAAGAGGAATAGCCATTACCTCAATAGTGAGTGAAAGAGCCTGCTTCCCACCAAATGCAGAGAGAAGCAATAAAAAGTCAAAATATCAGCCAATATTTAAAAAAAAAAAAAATTGAGACTGAATAATATAAGTTTTTTAGTCATATATTTTAACCGTATATATATTGAAGTTTATGATCGCATGATATACAATGAACGAACATGATTGATTGATCATCCAGATCCCCACAAAGAGGATCCGAAGATGATCCTTTTCCATAGTACGCCTCCAATATTTTTGTGATGGGACCCACAAATTCAAGTAGGCACTCCCATTTGAAAATAATAATAATAATAATAATAATAATAATAATAATAATAATAATAATAATAATAATAATTAACAATAAAATCTTGAAAAATGAACAACACAAACTGACCATTTTGAGCAAATAGAAGGAAGGAAATATGAAGAAAATTGTTAACTTGATGTACGTGTAAAAGTGGTTGTGAATGGAGGACGATGCAGAACCTCCATTTATATACACAGTGAGGCTTGGCAGCCAAGGAAAATTATCATATCCTAATCCCATGATGCCAGTACTGAAAAGTCAAGGTTTCATCCCTATGTTGTCACCAATTTGGTTAGATGCCGTCCGTTCATTATATACATTAAACTGGCGGTGGAGATCGAGTTTCAATATCCCTTCCTTTGACTGTGTGACATCATCAGAAATTAAGTTGAATAATAATACATGCATGCATGTGTGCTTTTGAAACTTTCAACACGTTCGTAATAGAATATAAAAGAAACTGGAACTGGAACCTCTCCGAGGCAAACCTTCGGGATCTTGCTGAGCGATAAACATGGGCCGTTGGATTTCGATCCAACGGTTACATTTATTATAACTTTAAGAGGGATTCCCTATTTGTAGCCGTTGGATCAAAATCCAACGGCCCGTGTTTGTCGTTCAGTAGGATCCCAAGGGTTTGCCTCGGAGAGGATCTAGGTCCCAAGAAACTATGAATGCTTTCATTTTCATGAGAAGTAGGTGGGCCTTGTCCAATCTTTTTGCTTCGTGATCCTTGTAAATCATGTTCTTCGTCCCAAAACTAAACTTGTTATACGGGTAAACGACAAGATTGATATGTCTCAATACACTGAAATTTATTCAGAATCCTCGTTTTATTTACGAGGACCACGCCAGGTCCAACAATTCAAACGTCGATTTAGAATGGAATTAAGAATCAGTTGGAATGCATGGTCTAAATGAAAATACATTATTCTCAAATTTTACAAAAATTGTTTTACAACATGAAGAATTGAAACTCTCTCCTGTATAATTCAATGATGAACAATGGGCCAAGAAACAGAAAATACAAAAATATAGGGGAAGAGAGACAAACCCCAGTTTAATCGCACAATTTTCACACAAACGCCAAACTAATTTCCTAAAATTTAACATCTACTTCTACTAGACAGCCTCAGTTAACGCACGATCCGGGATTGAAGGTGTGAAGAAAAGTACGACGAGACCGGGGCAAGTGACCGTTGAATTTAGCCGGAAGCGAACAAATCCCGGTGGCAATCGCAAGCATCTGCCAAGCACTCAAAACCTTGGAGTTAAACACATGGTTAGTTGTCAGTGACCACCTCACAGACTCACCTGTGCAAGCGCATGAGTGTGGTGGATTTGGATGCAGTCCACACGGAGCAAAGTTAACTCTGTTCATTGATATCCCAAACGTGTTAAGCCGCGAAATGCAAGGGGCGATTCCCGGCTGTTACATTCACTCGGAAAGAGATTGGTGGTGCTCCCTTCTTTTGTCGGTCCATCAATTAACTTTAGCACTTCTTGTTGAATAAGTGGCCAAGTGGACAACAAAACAAAATGCTTTCGGCTATTAAACAAAGCAAAAGAAAAAAAAGACAACATGATTATGTTTCCTTGTTTTGTGGCTTTTTCAAAGCCATAATTATTGGTTTCGGGCAGAAGAAAAAAGGTAGAAGAAGAGGGCTCATTTTTCTGAAGTGAGAAGTGAGAGCTGTTGAGAGCAAGGAGATTTGCAGAGAGCCCAAAAGGAAGAGAAGCTACTGCTTCATTTGGTTAGTAATTATCCACCAAAGTAATTGTTGTTGTAATAGCTTTGAGCTATATGTATAGAGAAGAAATTATTCATTATATTTCTTTCTCTATTTGTTTCTGTGGTGTGTGAGAGCTATTGGGTGTATTGGGTTATTTGGGTTGTGAGATTGCCAACACTTTGTAAACTCCCAATTGGTTGATAGTGGATTATTGGGTGAGCTCCTACTGCTCCGAGGACGTACTCCAGTTACACTGACTGTTGAGGAACCTCGTTAAAATCTTGGTGTCTTTAATATTTTGTTCTTGCATTTCATTTGATATATTTCCTGTGGGTTATCAAGAGTTGGTTCTAAAAGGTTTGGTGCTATCCTAGCACAACAATTGGTATCAGAGCACTGGTTGCTCTTGGGTACTGTCTAGTTGCCAAAGATGTCAGACGGGCAAGATGAGAATCCTTTTGGAAGCAACTCCGGGTTTGCAAGAACTACGGTGCAAAATGCAAAGTTCGAAGTGGAAAAGTTTGATGGCACAAACAACTTCGGGATGTGGCAATGTGAGGTCAAAGATGTGTTGGCTCAACAAGATCTACTTGCCGCTTTGGGAGAGAAGCCGGAAGCTATGTCGAAGCTGGAATGAGAGAAATTAAATTTGTGGGCTTGCTCTTCAATTCTATTGTGCTTTGCAAAAACTCATAAGTATTTTGTGATGCAGGAGACATTGGCAAATGTGTTATGACAAAAATTGGAAGATAAGTATATGACGAAGAGTGCAGAGAACCGGCTACACTTGATGAAAAAACTTTACCGCTTCCAATACAAAGAAGGTACAAAAATGATTAGACACCTTGATGCTTTTAATAAGTTGATTTCCGACTTGTTAAATTTAGATGAGGATATTAAGGATGAAGATAAGACCTTAATATTGTTGAATTCCTTACCGGACTCTTATGAGCATTTTGTTACCACTATTATGCATGGTAAAGAAACTGTGAAATTTGAAGATGTGTCAAATGCCTTGATGAATTATGAAATGAGGCATAGAGATAAAAATCATGATAGTACCTCTGAAGCTTTATTTGTTAGAGGTAGATCATCGGAGAGAATATCATCTTCTAGTAAAAAAAAAATCACAGTCTCGACCTAGAGGAAACTCTAAAGGTAGAAAACCTTTGGAAATGGATGAATGTGCCTTTTGTCGTAATAAGGGCCATTGGAAGAAAGATTGTCCTAGATTGAAGACCAAAGGCAAAGAAAGTTCTGAAGCTAATGTTGCTGAGGTTGAAACAGATTTTTCTGATTTTGCTTTAACCACTTCCTCATCATTTGATTGTGCTATTAAGTGGGTGTTGGATACGGGTTGTACTCATCATATGACTCCTCACAAGGATTGGTTTTCAAGCTTGAAAGAGTTTGATGGTGGCGTTGTGTTCATAGGAGATGACAAACCTTGCACAACAAAAGGGATTGGTACAGTTCGTTTGAAGTTGCATGATGGCATGGTTAAAGAGTTGGCAGGTGTTCGGTATGTACCGAATTTGAAGAAAAATCTTATTGCTTTGGGTACTTTGGAATCCAAGGGCTTCAGGTTTCATTCAGATGAGCAGACATTGAAAGTTACCTATGGTGCACTTGTTGTGATGAAAGCTCATCGATGTGGTCATTTGTATTTATTGCAAGGAAGCACCGTGACAAATGAAACGTCTGTAGTCTCAGAAAATATGGGCACATCTAATTCAGATACTACTAGACTGAATTCAGATACTACTAGACTGTGGCATATGAGATTAGGTCATGCCAGTGAGAAAGCTCTACAAGGGCTTGTGAAACAAGGTCTTCTAAAAGGTGCCACGACTTGTAAGCTTGATTTCTACGAGCATTGTGTCTTGGGAAAGCAAACTAGAGTGAAGTTTGGTACTGCAGTATATCAGACGAATGACATTCTTGATTATGTGCATTCAGATGTTTGGGGTCCTACAAAGACTCCCTTTTTGAGTGGTAGACATTGGTTTGTGACCTTTGTTGATGATTATTCAAAAAGGTCTTGGGTCTACACTATGAAGCACAAGAGTGAGGTGTTGAACATTTTCTTGAGTTGGAAGAAAATGGTTGAGAACCAGACTGGGAGAAAAATTAAAATTTTGTGATCGGATAATGGTGGAGAATACACATCCGACCCTTTCTTTAAAGTTTGCAAGGAGGAAGGGATTGTGAGACATTTTAGTGTTCGGGGAACTCCACAACAAAATGGAGTTGCAGAAAGATTGAATCGAACCTTGCTTGAGAAGGTTAGATGTATGTTGTCTCAGTCGGGTTTAAGCAAGTCATTTTGGGCAGATGCAGTTAATTATGCATGTCACATCATCAACCGGTTACCCTCAGCTGCTATTCAGGGTAAAACACCAATGGAGGTATGGACTGGAAAACCTTCTTCTGATTATGACTATATCCGTATTTTTGGTTCACCTGCTTATTTTCATATGACTGAAAGTAAACTTGATCCTAAAGCCAAAAAGGCTATCTTTCTTGGTTTTAGTAGTGGTGTTAAATGTTACAGGTTGTGGTGCCCAGAGATGAAGAAACTTATAATCAGTAGAGATGTGACATTTGATGAAGAAAGTATGTTCAAAGACTCTGAGAAGAATGTGAAAGATGTCCAACAGGTGGAGCTTGAGAAAGTTGCCTCTGGTACTTCAAATCATATTTCCACTGATGTCGAAGCCACTACAAGTGAAGAAGTTGAAGACCATGAGGATGTTGAAGAAGTTGAACTTGAAGATTCTATTCAAGTTGAAGAGGAAGTTTCACCTCAAGAGTCTATTGCCAAGAACAGAGGAAAAAGACAAATTACCAAGCTAGCTCGGTATAGTGACTATGTTTCTTTTGCTCTTCCTATTATCACTGATGAGATTCCATCCAATTTTGAGGAAGCTATTGAGAGTGAAGAAAATGAGAGGTAGTGCAATGCCATGGGTGATGAGATGAATTCTTTTTTGAAGAACAAGACTTGGGAGTTAACTAAATTGCCTAAGGGCAAGAAAGCTATCGGTTGCAAATGGGTGTATGCCAAGAAGGAAGATGCTGATGAGAAAAGCAATGTGAGATTCAAAGCAAGATTAGTTGCTAAAGGGTATGCACAAAAGTAGGGCATTGACTACAATGAAATATTTTCTCCGGTTGTGAAGCACTCATCAATTCGCATTATGTTAGCTTTTGTTGCACAGTATGATCTTAAGCTTGTGCAACTTGATGTGAAGACGGCTTTCCTACATGGTGATTTGAATGAAGAGATTTATATGTGTCAACCGGATGGGTATATAGTGAAAGGGAAGGAGAATTTGTTTTGCAAATTGAAGAAATCACTTTATGGCTTGAAGCAATCTCCAAGGCAATGGTATTTGAGGTTTGATAAATTTATGAGGGGCCAAAATTATTCTAGAAGTCAATATGATCA